GACTGCACTAAACCGGGAAGTTTGATGTTTAGATCGCATACAAAGTGTGGAAAGTCCCAGTCCTTCAATGCAAACATAGTTAACATATAATTAGTATTAAATCTTATTTTAATATTTATAATAATTGGTAATTATAATCGCACACCAAATAAAAAATGTCCTGTTATTCATTCATTTAACACATATTCAAAGCGCTTATTGCGTAAATATACACTATTTGTGTCTATTTTTATTCAAATCAATGATAATTTACTTTTCATTTTGAATGTTGTGTCTAATTATTTACACAAAAATCGTCTTTTAATGCTATAAATTTAGAAATCCGTTTCTCTGAAAAATAATTTACATTAAAATATTATTATTATTCATTTCAATCCAAAACACACACACTGTATGTAATACACCATTCACTGCCCACGCATCCAATTTCCATACATATTATATCTCAATTCAAAGGCATTTACAGATTAATCAATTAAATGAACGGACAGTCGGTGTGTCTATAGATATATCGTAACCAAAGCTAAGCGTAAACAATATTCAAATCCAAAGCTAAACATACAAAACAATCTATTGAAACAACAACTGATCTAAATATAGTCTAATAATAATATTATTGATTGAATTGTGTTAACACAACAAATGATAGGACAGTTAGTCGTGTGTGAGATAAAAAGCAATATCTAATTACACGGTGTGAGCCATACCTGCATAACAATCAATAGGTCCATAACGAGTATGGATGAGGCGAGGAAAGCGCGGGACAGTTCAGTGCTGGCGATGAGGTCTTTGTTGAGATTATCCCAATTGATCTTATCGGTGACGATGAGAGTGATGACCAGTGCGGCGATCACTAGGGCTCCCGTCCAGAACACGAGTATACGTGTGGTGGTGTGCCGGTGCCAAAACGACCGCAGCCTTCGGGCCCAACCTTTCGATACACAAATACATGCATTTTTCAGTCAATTAAGTGTACATTTTTTTGCAGTTCAAACACACAATTCAATTGAGTTTTTAGTGTTTTTTGCAATTCATTGAAAATATCGCTAAATATTTTGTTCAGATTCTTGTTTTCTCGTCAAAAAAAAAATAACTGCTTTTTGTCAATCAAATGATCAGTTTTTAACATTACTCTATGGAAAACAGCTTTTTTCTCGCAAATAAAGGCAAAAAATAGTGGCTTAACATTGAAATGAATCCAAAAAAGCATCAGTTATTTCGTAAGACTATATATACTGTATAATTGGTACGGGTTTTTGAGGGCCTAAAGTCAACACTAGCTATAAATTGTTTAAGAATTTAAAATATTTATACACTACTCTCTCCACAACCAGAAAGCCTAACGGTTTGTGTTTGTGCTGTGCATTGCGTGCGAGTATTATAAATGAATGAATTTAAAAATAAAAGCCAAATATCATAACAAAAATAAATTTCATGGAAATCATAAAAAGACAACTCAAAGACTCCAACCCATACATACAGTGGTTGCCTTTCGCGGGAAATCCTCCACTAATCAGTGGTTTTTAATCTCTAAACACTTGAGGCATGAATTCATTACATAAAAATTAATAAAATAAAACCTAAAAAATTTAATTAAATAACTCAATGAAAACTAACAAAACTATTTAAAATACACAACAAAAACACAAAACAAACAAAAAAAACTTCACACATAAAACGAGATAACATAACAAAATGGTTGGTAAGTAGTGGACACTCGACATACCGGGGTAGAGGTTGTCCTGAAGCATCATATCGGTGATCATCCACGCGGTGAAGAAGTCGCCACACCAGGTGCCACAGGCGGCCACCTTCATGAAGTTGGCGTACGTCATACCCATATAGGAGTTGATAATAAGCTTATCGGCGGCCGGATGTGCCCACACAAGCAAACAGTTATAACCAATGGAGAAGAAGAAGCACGAAATGAAGGCCGTGGCAAACATGATCATCCAGGTGCCGCACTCGTCCCGAAACATCTTGAGCCGCAACACCTGCCGCAGCAGCTGATGGTGGAGTACGTATTTGCCGAAGACTAGGCCCACCACAATGGCCGTCAGCCACGAGCACACTTTGACGCCGATCCAGAACGGGTCCAACGGGTACTTCGTGGCCACGAAGGAGATCACGTTCCCCAACACCGGTATCGAGCACTCCATCAATGAGTGCGACAGCGGGTCCTCAGCGAAGATCAGGAAATTGCAGAAAACCACAAAATAGGCGACGAATAGACGGGCGTACGGGTGTTGGAAGTAATACCTGTTACACAACGTAAACACACCACACGTTATCGTAAATATTACATTTAATTAATTGATAACTAGTGATTAAATAACAGTTATATTTCTACTGTTATTGAGATTATATTATATCACATTTCATGTGAACTAAACTTATCGATAGATTATAATAATTAAAAAATACTTTCAATTAATACCTAAAATCCTTTTCCATATGAAGTGAATACTGACTTAAATTATCGGAATTGTTGTATTGGTGTCGATGGCACTGGTATTGACTACATGTGTGGCCATCGGCTGCGGCGGCCGCTGCTGAGGCGGAACCGCCAGTGCCATTGCAGGCCGTGGCGGCACCGGTAGCACAGGTATTGTTATCATAAATATCACAATCGCTACAATAGTAGCACTTATTAGACAAACACTTATTTTCATCAGACGTTTTGTTCATATTATGCTTATTATTGTAATCAAAGCCAATATTAGTCAATATTTTATCACATTTGGCACAGTATTTGGTGTAAAAGTCGCGACTCTCGTTGTGGTCACCGGACAGCCTCTTGGCGTCGGTGTCGGCGTTGGGCCACAAGTCCTGTTCGTCCTTCTCTTGACTGGGGGTCAGTATTTGTACGGATTTTGTCCGACAATTACACGTATTATTCAATAGCTTTTGTTGCGTTGAGTCGTTTGAATCAAACGGTAGTGTTATTTGTTGTCCTTTAAAATTAAATCATAAAACACTCAATCAATACAATCATGTCATCAATCATTAGCTTAATTATCATCACTTTTTATGACTTTTGTTTCAACACTAGATTTTGTTTCATTTAATATGTCATAAATTCATATACAAAATGACAATTTAATCATAAATATTATGTGTATTTATAAAATACATTTCCAAAACCCATAATCCCTTTAATCACAAGGACTTTCGTTAAGAGCGTTAAGCCTTTTATTGGACTTTAAGTCTCGGGGTTTAAAGTCTAGTGTTTGGTATCCCTTCTCTGCCTCTCTTTCCCACTATTTCTCAAATATGTATTTATTTATAACTCAAACACCACTTAAACTATAGCTTAAATTGTATTAATAATAAATCAATTAAACGGTTAGTTTAGGCCAACTATACTATATTTGCATATCTGTATAGTTATGAAATATATTGCCACTCATTTCCGCCAACCGTTCCCTTCAATAAAACAAATTACATATAAATCACTAAATCATTAAATGTTTGTGACATTTAAGTCAAGGCTTATGGCTGTGAGGGGACAGACAGGCAATGGTTGTCCACAGAAACTACAACTGGAGTATCGATGATATGTTAAACACAATACCATATAAATGGCTATTAAAAGCCATTTAATAGTGTATTATATCTACTGTTATCTAATGTTCCCGTAATTGACACCAATAGATATGGTGTGAAGAGTTGGTTGACTGATGTAGTGGTGGTTAAGGGGGAGGCAATGGTATGGTATGTGTGACACTAATCGCACACTTCATCACTAAATCAATATAAGATAATCACAAATGCGCTGAAGATATGGCACAATACCTGTAGAACAGGACCTCTTGTGTTGGGAACTGCCCTTCAGTATTGAATTTGGTCTAAGAGTGCGGTTCCCAGCGGTGATGGTAGTCGTGTTGGTGGACATCAGGGGCTCAAACGCGTGGCCGTTATTATCATCGGCCGAATGGTAGTCATCATCGGTGGCCGTCTTCGAGGAGGTCATGGATGAGGACCTCCTGTCGCGATCGGTGGCCGACATCACGTCCTCCACAGCGCCGGCGGCCGAAGACATGTCGCGAAAACACGTGGCGTTCAATGGGTTTCGCACACAAAACGCGGATTCAATGACACAAACAATTGATTTAATGAAACATTAAATGAAATAATAATAAAATAATTAAAACTAATTGTCGTTTGGAGTGAAATAATGGTCACATTTTTCGTCTCATTTTTGCCATTTTATAATCACTTATTAAACAATAATTAACTATAAATTAATAATTTTATGAAAATAGTGTTTAAATTGATTTAATAAACATTTTGTGGTCACAAATCGGAGTGAAGTGTGGATTGAATTAATGTATTGTTTATTTGATAACACATTGAGAGAGCGATTGATGGCTAAAAAAAGCGTTTCATTCAATGCATTAGAAACTGATATAACGTTCAAAACATTACAAATAATGTGTAAAACTGGAGACCAATGCCAGAGATTGTGAGCACTGTTTTCGGTATAACTTAATACACAATACAAACACACATTTCAAACCATACAAACCATTCACTCAACGCATACGTTGTGCAACGCATACACTATACAGTGTACTCCCCCTATAGTGTACACATGTATATACATTCATATATTGTAATGAATATTTGATTGTGTTTGTAGGCTGTAATCATGCTTATCATATCAATTAGTTTTATTGTGCTATCCTTTGTTTGTTTAGTGTTTGGCATATAATTATCGCGTTTTAATTACTGTAATTATGTTTGATTGTAAACTGTATGCAAATTCAAATAATGCGTTACGTTTTTATTTTGGCGCACTCTATGCGCCCCCTGAGAGGCACTACACAAAACTCATCATTTATTAGGGTTATTCTAGAAGTGAAAAACGATGAATGTTATTTGAAAAACTTTTTTAACTTCATCAAACATAAACTTTACAATACATGAACGCTATTGGGAATCGGGATTTAGGCATTGATTAAATCAAACAAAATATTAACTTATTTTCTCTATTCAAATAAATACAAGCACTCCCTATGGATAACAAGTCACGTATTCAGGTGTATAACAGTTAGGCAGAGATATACAGGTGTGTAAAGGAGAGAGAGGTGTGTGATTGACAATATGCTCGCTATAAGCCATACAATCACATTGT